GGGGAATAAGGAGGTTAAGGAAGCCTAGCAAGATTGGTATTTGAAAAAAAATCTTATCATATTAATTTCTGTACCCATACTCTGAACATAAAAAGGCAACATCATATTTAAAGTGACTGAAGAAGCTGACTGGAGGTGGCTCACACCTTTAATCCCAGCACTCGGGAGGCAGAGGCAGGCAGATCTCTGTGAGTTTGAGATTAGCCTGGACTACAAAGTGAGTTCCATGGTAGCTAGGGCTATACAGGGAAACTCTGTCTGCAAAACAAGACAAATAAACAAAAATTGCTACTCCTGGGCTGGAGAGATGGCCCAGTGGTTAAGAGCACTGGCAGCTCTCATAGCAGACCCTAGTTTTAATTCCCAGAACCCACATGGTAGCTCACACCTGTCTGTAACTCCAGTTCCAGGGGAGCCAACACCCTCACACAAATTTGTATGTATGTAGGCAAAACACTAATGTACATAAAATATAAATAAATCATAAAAAATAAAGTAACTGTAGGAAACAGAGAAATCATCCTTGAAAACATGTGATTTGGTGAATAAATAAAGAAACAAATCTTCATGGGCTGGAAATACAGTTCAGTGACTAAAGAGTCACTGCTGCTTTCCCAGAGGACCAGAGTTCAGTTCCAGCCCTCAATTCAGGACATTTACAACCACATGTAACTTCAGCTTCAACCCCCTACCAACGCCTTCTTTTGGCCCCTGTAGACCTGTGCATACATGGCAGACACACGGACACATACACACGAATAAAATATTTTAAATGAAGGGCCAAGTATGGTGGCACATAGCTTTAATTACAGCACTTAGGAGACAAGGGCATGTGGGTTTTGTTATCTCAAGCCAACCTGATTTACATAAAATGTTCCAGACCATCCAGAACTACACAGAGAAATTCTGCCTAAAAACAAACAAAGAAATAAAATACAGTTTAAAAAGGAAAGAACGAAATGATGAGACTCAGGCCTGGCCTATAGCTGTTGGTAGAGTGCTTGCCTAGCATGCAAAAGTTGGTCAGGGCTAAGCAGAAAAACCTGTCTTGAAAAATACACACACACACACACACACACACAAATATAATAAAATAAAATTTTAAAAAAGTTTAAGGCGGGGCTGGAGAGATGGCTCAGAGGTTAAGACTATTGCCTGCTCTTCCAGAGGTCCTGAGTTCAATTCTCAGCAACGACATGGTTGTTCACAACCATGAGATCTGGTGCCATTTTCTGGCCTGTAGGGATACATATAGGCAGAATACTGTATACATAGTAAATAAATAAATTTTACAAAAAGAATAAATATATTAGGTTCAACCTAAACATTTTTCTTTTTCCCCCCTTTGGTTTCTTGAGATAGGGTTTCTCTGTATATCCCTGGTTGTCCTTGGAACTCATTCTGTAGACCAGGTTGGCCTCGACCTGGCAGAGATCTGCCTGCCTCTGCTGGGATTGAAGGCATGTGCCACCACTGCCCAGAAAACCTACACATTCTTAAATATATGATGTTCAACAGTTTTGCATCTCAGAAAACCAGCTCTTCTTTTGTTTCCACACTGTGCTGAATAGTTTTATGTCAACTTGACTCACGGTAGAGTCATCTGAGGAAAAGAAACCTCAATTAAGAGAAACGCTCCATAATACCAGGTTGTAGGCAAGTGTGTGGTATTTTTTTAACTAGTGATTGATGGGGTGGGTCCAGCCCATCGTGGGTGGTGCCATTCCTGGCTGGTGGTCCTGGGTTCTTTAAGAAAGCAGGATGAACAAACCATGAAGAGCAAGTCAATAAAAGCACCCCTCCATGGCCTCTGCATCAGCTCCTGCCTCCAGATTCCTGCCCTGATGTACCTCAGTGATGGACTATTACCTGGAAGTGTGGGCAAAACAAACCCCTCCCTACCCAACATGCTTTGATCATGTTGTTTCTTCAAAGCAATAGAGCCCCTAAGACACACAGCTTTAAAAAAGATCTTTGTGTGTGTGTGTGTGTGTGTGTGTGTGTGTGTGTGTCTGTGTGTCTGTGTGTGTGTGCTCTTGTGTGTGTACACATGTCATATGTGTTCAGGTGTCAGAGGGGCCCTGAATAGGGCATCAGTATCAAACCTGCTGTGATGTGGGATTTACCTCTGTGTGCTGTGATTACTGTTAATGAAAAAAGAACTGCTTTGAGCCTATAGCAGAGAAGGGTGGAGCAGAGCAGAGCTAGGCCAGGAGGACTGGACTGAATGCTGGGGAAAAAAGGGCAGAGTCAAAGGGAAGCCATGGAGCTGCCGCCAGAGACAGACATTGGGAACTTCACCCAGTAAGCCACTGCCATGTGGCAATACAGAGATTAATGGAGATGGGTTAAATTAAGATGTAAGAGTTAGCCAATAAGAAGCTAGAGCTAATGGGCCAAGCAGTTATTTAATTAATATAGTTTCTGTGTGATTATTTTGGATCTTAGCTGCTGGGTGGCCGGGAACCAACAAGCGGCCTCCCTCCTACGCCTGCTGGAGGTGGTTGTGAGCTGCCTAGCTCACTGAGAACTGAGCTAGGGTCTTGTCGAAAAGCAGCAGGCTCTCCTAGCTGCCAAGCACGCATTTCCTCACTCTGTAGCATTTTCTAATGCCCAAGAAAGAAATATAAAGGGGGCTGAGGATGTATCTTAGTTGGTCCAGTACTTGGATAGCATTTATTTGTTTGTTTGTTTTTTGGTTTTTCGATAAAGGGTTTCTCTGTGATTTTGAAGCCTGTCCTGGAACTATCTCTTGTAGACCAGGCTGGCCTCGAACTCACAGAGATCTGCCTGCCTCTGCCTCCCAAGGGCTGGGATTAAAGGTGTGTGCCACCACCGCCCAGCTTTCAGATAGCATTTATTAAACACAGAGATTGGTCCCCAGTACTGCATAAAGCAGACATGATGGGCCATGCCTGTAATGACTTCACTGGGAAGGCAGAAAGAGAAAGATCAGATGTTCAAGAAAACCTCAGGTAGATATGGACTTGGAGGCCTGCCTGGAGTACATTATACCACTTCTTTAAATACACCACTGGGCATGGTGGTGCATGCCTTTAATCCCAGCACTTGAGAGGTAGAGGCAGGCAGATTTCTGTGAGTTCAAGGCCAGCCTGGTCTACAGAGCTAGTTTCAGGACAGGACAGACTCTCTGCAGGGAGACACCCTGTCTCAGAAAAAAAAAAAATTACAGGGTATTTCTTTCCTTTGCAACATTATAGATTTATTGTACATATTTCCGTGTCTGTTTCAAAATATACCCTCAGAACTCCCCAAATTGGAAGCCACTTTTATGTATCTTGAATATTAAATTTAAATAGACTAATTTGAACATTTAAAAAGATAGGTAGGGACCAAAGAGATGGCTCATATGTTAGAGCCCATACTGCTCTTGCAGAGGTTCCAAGTTCTGTTCCCAGCACCCATGTCAGGCTACTCATGACTGGTCATGACTATTTTCAGGGAAGTGGACACTGTTTTGTGGTCTCGCAGGAGACTGCACTCCTGTGTATACATGTATACATAATTAAAATAATTAAAAATACATTTTAAGATTATAAACATAGATGAGGGGCTAGTAAGATGACTCAGAGGTTAAGTGCCCTTGCTTCTTTTGTAAAGATTTGCGTTTGAGTTCCCAGTACCCACTCAGGTGGTGCAAATCTGCTTTAACACCAGTTCTAGGGGATCTGACGCCCTCTTGTGGTTTCTGCAGGCACAGATGAAGTGAGCACTAGGTGAGAAGTAAGGGGACTTACGTGTTGTCCTAATTTCTTCTCTCTGGCCTGTCGCCTTCCTCATAAATGAATTCGGTTAGACTATATCTAGTCTGTAGGCGGCGATTTACAGCCTTACTATGCCCATTCTCCCACCCAGCCTCTTTATGTTAAAGGTGAGGAGATTAAGGCTTTGAAAGGACATGTAACTTTGTCAATATTCTACACAACTAACGATTATAGGTAGCAGAATCTTGGGATCAGAGATGAGGGATTGAAGTCTTGAAACTTAAGTAGTTTTTGTGAGTTTGTTTTGGTTTTAGATGGGGGTCTTAGCCTGGCGGTGGTGTCGCAGGCGGGGGTCTCACTTTGTAGCCAAACCTGACCTCTAACGCCCAATGTTTCTACTGCATTAGTCTTCACAGCGCAGGGACTACAAGAGTGAGCCATACGACTAAATTCCCAAATTCTGTTTAACTACAAGGAAAAGAATGCGTTTATAAAAACTGAAGGGGAAAAAAAAGAGAGAGCGAGCCATTTATACATGCAGTTTAGGGCGGGACAACGATTTCCCGAGGTAACTTCCGGTACAGGGTTGGTTTCCGGAATCAACAACAGGACGGGCCAATCAGAACCTTCTCCCAAGAGCCAATGGGAGAGCAGATTACAAACAGCCAATCCCGGCGGCGCTGTCACTGTTATGGTCCTGTCAGGGCGCCGGCGTCGTGGTGCTTGGGCGCTCGCCACCAGCCGGGCTCCGGTGCGACCTCGTCGGGAGGAGCCGAGTGGCCTGGCTCGCGCGTCTCAGCCCTCGTCCCAGCCTGTGCCTCCCGGCTCGCAGGCCGCCCGCTAGCACGGTCGTCACCGTGCACGGACCC